CTCTCCTCCATCACCTCCACCCTTGCAACGGCCTCCGCCTGCTGCCCTCCTTCCCCCCCTCCTTCCCCCTCGAGGCGCCGGCTCTCCTCCTCCCGACCCTCCCTCTCCTTTCCTTCCCCACCACAGAGACCGCGCGCCTCTCTCGTCGGCCCTGACCCGCCCTTCCCCTCCTCCCACCGCTTCCTCTCCTCTTTCCAGGCCTCCCGAGAGACCCCCTCCCAACCCCTCCACCCACCTCCCTCCCTGACATTATCCAACGCGGCAGCGGCCTGATCCCAACTCCCTTTCCGTCGCCACTCCTGTGTCTTCTTCCTCTTCTCCTCCCAAAGGACTCGCTCCCATTGTTGTCTCTCCGCTTCCTTCTTCTCCCTCTCGCGCTGCTCGACCGCCTCCCTCTCCCTCGCTGCCTCCCCTCCACGCCTTACGTGCTCCCCACGACGCTGCTGCAGCCCGTCCCTCCCTTTCTGTCCCTCATGCTCTTGTGTATTCCCCCCTTCCCGACCCCAATATGCCTCCAGCTCCCGCTGCTCTCGCTCCCAACGTTCCCGGCTGGCGTTCACATACATCGTGTCCGGGATGGGCGTGGCGTCTGCCGCGAAGCTCACCCGCCTTCCCGGCTTCCCTTTCCTCTTCCTCGGCTTCTCCTCCAGGGATCGACGCAGCAAAATTCCACCGGGGACGGATCCGGCGTTGTAGGCGCCCTGAGGGATCTCCGCCTCTAAAAGGGCAGAGGCAAAGGCCGCCCAAGGATCCAGCTCCGCCTCCACATTTTCCTTCTCTTTCTTCCGGCGCTTTCTCCGCTCCCGACGTCGTCGCCGCTCCTCCTCCTCGGTTTTTTGTGCCAAAGATTGTCCAGTGTCTGCTGGTACACGTGTTGATTCTCGTGCCTCTGTGGATAGGTCCTTGGGAGGGACCGCCGCGGCCGCAATCAAATCGCTCCACAAGCCCGTAGAGGAGCCCTGACTTTCCTGGCCCTGCTCCCCGTCGTCTGCATGTTTTTGCCTCCCGTGTTTCCGTTTCGCTGAATTTGTCGGGGAGCCCATGGTAGGACCCGTCGCTTCCGAGGCGCCGTTTTCACAAGAAAGCTTCCCATTCCTGCTCTCGGACACTTCCTCTTTCGATTGTGATTCGGCTGTTCCTTTTCGCTTCACTTTCCGCAGCTTTGCAGTCGAAGAGAGCTTCACAACTGTGGTCGAGGGAAGGGATGACTCCCGCTGGGTAGCATCCACGCAGATGGCGGCTTCGCCCCCTTTGGTGTAATGCCCCGCCGTGATCTTCGCTGTCCTAGTGGAGGAGTTGGAACCACCTGCACAAGCACTAGGCATCTCATCCGCCTTGGCTCCTTTCTTTTTCTTCTTGTGACATATGTGTGCCTTTGCTTGCTCTCTGGAAGGATTGTCTTGGTGCATTTCCCAGAGCTTGAGCCCAAGCAGGAAAAGTAGAAAAGCTATCAGGTAACTCAGCATGACTCCAAAAAGCTGTGTCGCGCTGCAATGTCCTGTGAAGATGAACGGAGAGAACAAATAAGGGGCAGATAATTGTCAACCACATCTCCAAAGCACCCCGTGAAACCGGGGTGGGAGGTGCCCGCGCCTCCCGTGACAGAGGTGATGTTTTCTGGTATGTGCCGTGCCGGATATGAGGCTGTTCTCGTTCTGCCTCCCGGCTGCGACAGACGTTACACCTTTGCCGTTTGCCTTCTGCCCCATGCTTTGGCCCAGGCAGAACTGCCTGGTCAATTGGTACGCTTCCATGATAGGCTACATGCTTAAAAAGATATGTATGCCCGTGGACGGAAATATGTGCGCGTGCTGTTGGTGTTTGGGCTTGCAGCGACAAGTTGCAGAGGGGACAACGACGACATAGCCGTTGAAGGCCCATGGGGGTTTGAATGAATATGGGAAGATATAATGTCCACTGCGGCCGTCCTCTGCCCACGGTAAAATGTTTAGTGGTAGGAATCTGCTTTAAACATATTTCGTTAATGCCACAAAGTGTGTATTTTGGGTGGCGGGTGCACTTTCGAAATCTTTATAGCCCGTTTCATAGATGGAAGCTTGCGCGAGATCTCCATGCAGGGTTTTTCATCCGGGTGCAACTTTGACAGGAGTGGCATCGTAGCTGATTGTGTAATTGCTATTTTGAAAATCTTCATCAATAGGAAAGAGCAACTTGGTTGTGACGGAGACAGGGGAGCGGAAAATTGTTTGTTTGCTGAGAACAATTTGTCGAGGTGTTCCCGAGGCCAGGAGCACGGAACGACGACCCATACCAGCATAATGCCGTCAGGGTGGGCTGGTTTAGCGGCCAGCATAGTCCGCGGTGGACAACAACAAGCACAAACACAACAAGGAGAGCATGGAAGTCGAAAGCAAGAAGAGGACGTGCACCTGGGGGGTACTGGGACAGGGGGTCCCATTGGTATCGCTGCCCTCCCACCAGGCCACGCACCGCCCTCACACGGCCATCGTCAGGATCAGAAGGCGTACTTCCGGCACCAGCACGTGCACGAAGCGCAAAGGCACATGGACGCAATGGTAGTGGCCGCAGATGCGTCAGGTACAATGTTAACAGAGGAGCGAGGAGACACGCAAGTGAAACCTCATTACTCTTTTGGTGCCCCAAAGGACAATGTCGCTTGGCCTGTGCAACCCAATGAGTCAACTTTCGAGAAGGGCAAGCATCCAGGTTTGCCGTGTCAATCCCAGCAGGCGCCTACAGGCGCTGGGTCCGCGGAACCGATTGATGCGATGGTGTGCAGCAGCAGTAGCAGCAGCCTAAGCAGTAACGCGAGTCATGGGGCCCCACGGCGCAGACGCCGATCGTCGCAGACACGGCCATTGAACCGCCTGTCCATACAGCTGATTGAGACGTACAAGGCTATCAACACCCAGTATTACGAGCAGAAGGCCCTGCGCTTGGAGAGGGAAGCGGCTGCGGCGAAAGCAACGGCCTCCGCTCACAGCCAAAAAGACTCGGACTCTGCCCTTCGAGCACACCCCAACACAAACCCTCCGTCCTCCAATAAAAGCACGGCAACGGCGGCGGTAGCGTCCTCCTCCACCTCTTCCTCCCTCCCGGCCTCCCAGCCCCCGGCTGCCGCTGGCCCGTCTGGGAAGGGCGTCTACAACAGCGGGTGGGACGACGAGCACTACGACTACATTGTCCAACGCGAGGAGGTCCTCCGGGACCGGTACGTACTCAAGAATCGGATCGGCAAGGGTTCGTTCGGGCAAGTGGTGCGAGGACTGGACCGGAGCACGGGGCGGGAGGTGGCGGTGAAGATCATCAAGAGCCGCAAGCCCTTCATGGTGCAGGCGAAAACAGAGGTGGATCTCCTGGAGGCCCTCAAACAGATGGACGCCACGGACGACTTCAACATGGTGCGCCTGCAAGAGCACTTCATCCACCGGAACCACCAGGTCCTGGTCTTCGAGATGCTCTCCTACAATCTCTACGACCTCCTCAAGTACACCAAGTTCGCCGGGGTCTCGCTCACGCTCCTCCGGAAGTTCGCCAAGCAGATCCTCAAGGCCCTGGACTTCCTGGCCCGCCCAGACGTGGACATCATCCACTGCGACCTCAAACCCGAGAACATTCTGCTGCGCCACCCCAAGCGGAGTGGGATCAAGCTGATCGACTTTGGCTCCTCCTGCCGCAGCCACAAGCGCATGTATTCCTACATACAGTCCCGCTTCTACCGCTCTCCCGAGGTCATGCTCGGCCTCCCTTACTCGGTGGCTATCGACATGTGGTCTCTGGGCTGCGTCCTGGTGGAAATGCACACGGGGGAGCCGCTCTTCGGCGGGACGGACCAGCACGATCAGATGCGTCGCCTGGTGGAGGTGCTCGGCCTTCCCCCCCTTTCCATGCTGGAAAAGGCGCCTGCGGCGGCGCGCGACACGCTCTTCGAATGCCTCCCTGAGGCCCCGTCGAGGGGTACAGCCCAGTGGCGCCTCAAGCCGTCGGCTTCGGGGGCGGGCGCTCAAAGCAGCAGAGCCTGGAAAGAGCCCGCTTCCCCAGAAACGCGGCTGGCGGAGATCGTCGGCATGCACACAGGGGGGCCGCAGGGCCGACGCGCGGACGATCCGGGTCACCAGGTCGCCCACTACCAGGTCTTTGTGGACCTGGTCTTGCGCATGCTGCACTACGACCCTGCGCTTCGTATCACGCCCAGCGAGGCGCTCCGGCATCCCTTCGTCACGGGAGTCGAGGCCCTGGCGGCGCCTGTGAAAAGGGTGGAGAGAGTGGAGGCAGGCAAAGACAGCGGAGGTCAATCGCAGCAGCCACAACCGCAACCCAGATCTCCCAGGGTGACGGCCACCACTGCCCATGCGGTGCAGCACAATCAACTTCCGCCCTTGATGACCTCTGGCTTCGACTCGCAAGCATACACGTAGGGACCAATGGTGATGGCATTGGAGGGACAAGGGAAGAAACAAAGCTTTCCGGTTAGCATACACATCTATGCATCATTACTGTGTCTTTCTTGTACTTGATGTGATTTATTCATTACTTAGGCGAGAGAAGGAGAAAGAAGAGATGCTGGGGGACGGTAGGGAATAGATAATACGAAGGAAACCAGAAGGAGGGATGTGATTTTTTCGTATGCCTATATGTATTCATATGTGTACTTGTGTGCGCATGCCGTTTCTCGGGATAGTGGACGGTGAAGGCGCCTTGCTGGTACAGTAATACCAGTTGGCAGCATTGCTGCTGGAGACAAGGTTATCATCCTAGAGTACTGCATTGCCTCTGACCAGCTGCGTGCCGTCGACGCGCGTTTACCGCTTTTCCAAATGGAAAGGAAGTCCCTCCTCGACAATAGAGGAAGTCAAAGGAGTTGGAGACCTCCCGTGTGCATGGGGGGAGAGAGAGGGCAGTCACGTCTCACTACATCACCGACTTTTGTCTTTTGAAGACAGAAAAACAAAGCAAATCATCCACAGCATTCATAGTAACTCAAATCAATGCTTGCTCGGCTGCACTTTCTTTTCTCAGGTGATCTATGGGGAAGGAGAATCGATCAGTGCTACCAAGCAGAGACTGTACAGGGTTATTGCATGCAATCGAATACCGGTGTCTCAACCTCTGGAAATTAATGGTCGAAGAAACTCAGCCTTTAAAACATTTGAAACTTATACACGGGGGATGCAAGAAACATTTTGGACGCGCATCATCGGCAACACGGATACCCCCCAAAGGCTTATTTTTCAGTATGCTCCGCGTCGGAGTATCTCCAAGCGGAGGCGGCTGGGTACAAAGCGGGGGGTGGCGATTTATAATTAAAAAGAATGAAGTCTACGCAAGTCCTGCGATACTAGTTTCATGAGTCCGTAGCTCCTTTGCTTGATGTATTCTTGTAATTTAAAAAAAATGCAAATCACCTTCGTGATGTGTAATTCTGAATGTACTCCCGCAAATTTTGTGTTGTCCCGCCGCCCGTCATTTTCAAGATACTCACCTATCACACGTTACCGTCCTTTACCGCTCCACCTATGCACAACACACGAAAAAGGAAAGGTATCACACTCTGCCACCATACATGTTGTCTGGCACCCGCCGTGCTTTTTCCCGCAGGTCTATCCTCTCCCCTTGGACCAGGCCTACCTCCTTCGCCCCGGCCTCCATCACCCCGACAAGGGCGTTTGCCACAGGTTTTATAGAGGAAGAGAAAGCTGTCCACGTACACAACCTCCTGAAAGCCAAGAAGGAGGCTAGACTAACTTTTGATGAAATCGCGGCCAAAACGGGTCTGACAAACGCTTACGTGGCACAGGTTGAAAGCAAGAAGGGTTGGATGACTTGGGGGGAAAGCCGCGAAGGACATGCCGGGGGAATGACCCCTCAATGTCTGAAAGAACCCATAGAATACATTTCTCGTTATTTGTTCGCTTTGGAAGAGCAAACTATCGCAGACGTGTGTCATCATCCGTCACTGATCCTTTTTTTCCCCTTCCCATTCCATTATGGCAGCTCTTTTACAGACAAGCCCAACTCAAGCCCGAGACGGTGCCCAAGATGGAGGCCGCCGTACCCACACTGACAGGAAAAGATTTGGAGATAATGCAAGAGGTAAGCATTGAGGGTAGTGGGGTAGCGGACGGGCTTTGGCGCATGCCTCAGGTGGATGACCCTCCTCCTCCTCCTCAGGTGCCCTTCCGCTCCTACGACCGCGACGTGCTGCGGACGGAGCCCTTGGTCTATCGCTTGGAGGAGGCGGTGCTACATTACGGTCTAGGTACGTGAATGTAACCAAGACGTCAGCTTTCGAGTCGTGCTGATGAGTATAAGTTTTTGGTAGTTGGACGTGAAGACAAGGGGGTTGTGTGGAGATGAAGAGCCGTGTTGGGCCTTGAGGCAACCATTGTCTCAGAAAGCGAGGGTTGGTGGGGCCGTGCAAGGAAAGAAGCAAGCCAAATCTGAGGGAAAGGGAGGAGTGGCTCCGTCGGGGTGGGCGGGAATGGGAAGATGGATCGGTCGGGGCGATCGTAAGGTAGACATGCCTTCCACAAGCGGCAGCTCTGCCCTTGGCATGCTCTCCCTCCCTTCGTCTCTTCCTCCCCTCCCCCTTCCTCTTCACGCCCTCCCGTCCGTCCACTTTTTCGCCTTGACGACCCCGTGTCCCCAAGAAGAGTGACCGATCCGGCGGACATGTTTGAGCACGGCCCTTTCCTCGCGCCCCCATGAGGCACTCGCCACCCTGCATTTGGTGTGCGAGGATGCACGTTTGATGGCTGCGTCCTCTCACGCTAAATCCAGGCATGTCAAGCGTCGTTCATGCGCAAATCCCTCCTTCTCACGGGGCTCCCGATGTTGTCTGTCTCGTGCGGAGGCCCTGCGTGGAGAGAGGGGTGGTGTAGGCAGGTGTTGGAGGGGGGGGGACTCCCGGGATGCACGTGACTGGCTGTGATTAAAGCGAAGACGTTCTTCCGAGACCCGAGACGGAGGCAAAACGCCTTCCGCGGTGCGGGACTTTCACTACACTTGACCTGAGCCGTCATTACTTTGCGTCCCTCATGGGCTCCTGACTCTCAGCAGCCGAAAATTTCGTGAGAGGCACGGAATCATGGTCCGAGACAGGAGTCTTGCGGGCGATGAAACAGGACTTGGGAAGATACCTCCGAGGGAATTAAGTCGGTCTGACCCTTCTGGAACATTCCACCCCGACACAGGCATCAAGGCCATCGTGAACGAGAAATTTGGGGACGGTACGTGATCCGCGTCGCTCTTATTTCTGACCCTTCCCCCCGTTTTTCATGCGCTCACCCCATCTCTTTATCCTGTTTATCTGTTTCCTGACCTCCGTGGGGCCATAGGCATCATGTCTGCCATAGACATGTATGCCACTGTCGAGCGCGTCAAGGGTCCTCAGGGGGAACCACGGGTTGTCCTCACATTCAATGGCAAGTTCTTGCCGCATGTGGAGCAACGTGAAACCCTGAATGTTCAGCAACGAGAATAGGAGAGAAGAGCGACCGATTTTATCGCGGTGAAGGGTGTGCAGGTTAGACGAGAAACTGACGTGGGAAAGACAAAGATCGAGAAAAGGTGTTCGTGATGGACAAATTTATGATGGACAATATGGCGCAATAATATTTAGCTCAATAAAGTGATATACTTCTTCTTCTCACGCATTTGATAATTCGTGAAGGGGGGAGGCGAGATTTGAGCAAATTTAAAAGGAGGCCCCCCCCATGCAGTAAGAAGCAAAGGTGACTTCAAAAATCAATTTCCTAGAAGAACACAAAACGTAGCAAAATCCCTGCTTCAGTGCACACTGTTCAGTTTTCTGCCAAATAGCGCTACCAGTCTCGGCAATTTGGGCCGGTGCCGTGTGGATACTATAGAGGAGGAACAACGAACGTTGAAGCCCGTATATCCCTTCCCCCGGCCCCTACATGTCGTTTGCTCCTTCTTTCTCACCCGCACACCTCTCGTATTCACCACAGGGTCGAATGCGCAAGGCTCCGACATGAGACAATGCTCGGATTGTGCCTCGGTGCTGAAAGTGGGGCAGGAAGAGTAAGGTTTTTGCAGGCAAAGGCCCTTGGTCGTGGTTGAGGACGATCGCAGTGCTGTTGGACCTGCCGCCCCGACGGGTCAAGACGCATCCTTTTCTTTGGTCGGAAAAAAAAAAAAA